AAAATCCTAACTTTTAACTTTTAAGTAATTAATTTAAGCAGAAGTTGTCATTTGAAAACATTTTCTTTTAACTTTTTCAAAACAAAAGCTTGGAAGTAGGGGTGAGATCGGTCCGGTCTGGGTCGGGTTTTTGCTAAACCCGGAAATTACCCGGAAGGTCTCGGGTTATGAAAATTAGGGACCGGAACAAAGACCATTATATTCGGTCCGAGTCGGGTTTTTGGTAGCTCGGGTTCGGTCCGGGTTCGGGTTGGACCGGTTAAAGCCCGGCCGTGAAATATGTCATTGTTTTATATTTTAACACGTATTTTCAAATAAAATTAATCAAAAATACAAACCGCAAATAATAACACAAATTTTAGTCTCCAAAATCACCAACAATTCAAATTTAAAGAAGATAATTATCTTAATATTTTATGTAAGATGTATATATATAAATAATATAGGTTTTTTAAAAATATTACGAAATAAATTTTATAAATCAAAAAGTTACTAGAGTTGCTATAAATATATTCTCATGGTCATCATTACGCTAAACAAATTCAACATATTTGTAGTCACTAAAAGTTACTAAATCTTTTTTTATCCACCGTGATTATAATCATATATTAGGAAATATTTTATTTATATTCATATACTATATTAATTTTATAATTTATATTAAAAGTAATTGTTTCGGGTTTTTTCGGTCCGGGCCGGGTTATAGATTTTAAGGCCCGTTAATGAGCCCGAAATTTTCGGTTCGGTCCGGGTTTTTTTAAATTCGGGCCGGTTAAAAAGAAAAAACCCGCACCGGGATCATAATTCGGGTCGGTCCAGGGTCAGTTTCCGGGTTTCGGTTCGGTTTTTCCCACCCCTACTTGGAAGTGCTTTTTTGTTTGCAAACAAAGCCATAGTCGCTCCCATACAAGCATACTTGTCCATATATTAAACCGCAAATCATTTGGAAGTCCGTATGTTTCAAGAAAAATCTTGTTTAGAAAATATTTTTGAAAATCGTATTACTTCCCATTTATAAATCATTATCGGAAGACACTGTTAATACATTAAAATTCTATTTGGTAACCTTTTTATGGCTTATGAATAGTGATGGCAACGGGGCGGATCGGGGACGGGTACACATAAAACCGGAACCGCCCCGTTGGATAAATGTTTGCCCCAAAACTGTCCCATTACCCATTCGGGTAATTTTTATTTGAACCGTACCCGCCCCAACGGGGAATCGGTTTATCCACGGGTAACCGTTTCCCCAAACGATACCAAATAACCAACTTTTTTTGGGAAAACAAATAACCAATTTTAATCCTACTTGTTATTCAAAGCACCCTAAAACATACAAAAATAAGCATTTAAGCAATCAAGCAGACTGACCTATATTCATTAGTATGACATGCACCCAATATCTCTTGTAACATAATAAAAAAGTAGTAATCATTCCAGAATCCAAATTTCAAAAATAGGTTTAGACCTATATTTAGTTTTAGGCCTAAAAAAGTAGTATACTTTTTAGCATTATTTATATGATATATACTATTTATTATACACAATTTAGCATATATAGTTATTATTCTTATATATAAAAGTTATAATTTATTAATAATGTTATCGATCGGGTAACGGTGCAGGTACCCGCACCACTAGTGAACAGGGCGGTTTCAGGGCGGATAACGGGGTGGATTAGTATAGAACCATAACCGCACCATTAACCATTTAAAAAATTCGGGTATTCCCCGCCCCGTACCCATTCCCCAGTCAAACCGGTTTTCCCCAGTTTGACCAAATTGGTTCGGTGCGGATATCCAACGGGTCGGTCGAAATTGCCATCTCTACTTATGAATTTGATTAGCTAGTCTGTTTTTTTGGCAAATACTAAGGTTTTGATTTCACGCGCTATGTAATAAACAAAATAGGGTTTAGTATATAAAAATTGTAATTTTTCATAATTCACTAGTTTTAGTCAATTCATTTGTTTATCCATAATTTTAACAATATCACTACACTCATCTGATTCTGCCAAATTCCACATTACCCATAATTTCAATAGACTTTATGGAGCGAGAATGCTTTCCTATAAAATTAAACAAAGTAACAAACGGACACTTGATATTCATTTGGTAATTGATCAAGCTGTTTTTCAACTTAATTATATTAAATTAGTATTATAGTTTGATCAATCCAACCTAAAGATTACACATCTTATTTAACCAGGCTAGAGGTACTCTCTCTCTTCCATGGACTTCGCGAATTTTCTTTTTTCGTTTGTTTAAAAAAAAATTATCAGTTTTCTCAATATATTTGTGAATCTGTTCATTTCTTTCTTCTCTCACAAATATCTACAGCATGATTTTTTATTTTCTAATTTCACAACTGTTAAACGGACAAAGGTAATATAAGAAACTAGTGACCCAAAAGTCAATGACAAGTCCCTAGGGTGACGAACCCATGAAAGTGATACACTGTTACCGATAATTGAAAATATAGTGAACCCAAAAGGCCAAAGAGTACATCTCAGTATCTCACATCGTAAAGAAGTTGATGATAGCCAAGGGAAACACTAAATTATGAGTAGGCGGATATAGTCAATTGTTAAAGGGGTTGGATTATAACGCTATACACCTATTTTATCATCATTAGTTAAAGGGAAGCCAAAATTGTAAAATGACATTGATGACTAATAAAATGAATAAATAATTTGTTTTGGCGGAAAAAAGAAGGAGGCTTTTAGTGGCAAAAATATCAACAGCTTGATTAATTCTCAAATACTAGTGAATTTTGAACATTTTGTTTTACCTAACAAATCTGGACTTCGCAATGTGCATCGATAGCTAAATTTGAGATTTATCATTAATACTCCTACTTTAATATTTGTCCTGTTTATCCAAAAAAAAAAATTGTCCTGCATGCCTCAACTTTTATATAGATCCACTAGTCTTCACTGTTCAGACATTGTTATCCATAAGTGGTTACTTATAAAACCTATATTGCATTATTGTTTTTATGAGTTATACTAGTATTTCACCCCTAGCACAATACGTCAATCAAATTTAGTCACAAGAAATAAGTTGAAGAAACGGCAATCAAAAATATTATTTGTTGATTTATATGATCATAACAAAATCAATTACCAACTAAAATTACAATTTACTCGTATATATTATGAACCTGTTTAAAGGTACATTTTCTCAACTCATTACATAAAAAAATGGACTCAAAGCACTCAAACCCCTTTCTAGAAAATTAAGAGGGGCTCGCAGCACCAATGACTAGATGACCATTAAAAGTACTTTACATGATTGTTGGGGGTAGGATGGAGACTATTTTGTAATTTTTTTTGTAAATAAATATCAATATATTTCCAAAAAATCGAGAGCCGGTTTGGTCACACTGAAATCGGCTGAATCGGCTGATTCTGCTGAAATTTATGAAGTTCTGGGTTAAGTGGCTGTATTGGCCGATTCCGCTGATTTATGAAAAGTTAAATTTAAAATATATTTTATTAATAAAAGAAAGAAAAAATTATATGTAAAAATAACTAAAATGGTCATGTACAATAACTTCAGCTGAAACGGACAGAAAAGTAACTCAAACCTTACTTTTTCTTATTATTACACATTTCAGCGCGCAAAATCAAAAGTTAGCTGATAATTCTAACAAGTCAAATAACAGTGTTACCAAACGGGCTCCGAATATAGTATACTCCAAATTTTATTACTTAGTAAATTCATTTTAAAATGTCCAAAAGATTAATGTTAGGATGACTAAAATTACAGATTCAAAAAATAGCTCCATGAACAAAAGCTCCCGTCAATTGTTTGAATTGAAAATTTTCAAAATACGAATAAGAACACTTTGAAATTCTAAAATGAGAACTATGTTTTTATTTCATGAATAGAAGTAACTATTGTCACTTGAAAAATACTCCCGTACTAAAGTCTTGTAATGCCAATTCAAAGAGGAAAGGAATTGCTCTTATTTAGAAATACGGAGTATAACAAAACATAATAGTCTTAATATGGAGTTGAGAAACGTTTCTACTCCTACTTAGTGCAATTTCGTATGTTCTTACTACAATCGAAAAGATGTTATTTAAATTAAATAGAAATTGCTCTAACTAAAACTAAAACCTGCACAAAATATACAAATAAGACTACTTATATTTCCTCAAAATAGAACTTATTTGATCCTATTAAAAGTATAAAACTTCCTTCAATAGAATTGAATAGGTCATATCCATGTTTACCCTTTTTTAAGGAATCTTCGTTAATGTATAAAGTTAAGAACTTCAAAAAAAGTTCTATCACTTCCATCTAGTGAGTTACCTCCCCCAAACTTAGTAGGTTAGTAGTCTTAGTACTCTAAAAATATTTTTGTTTCTCTAAAAGGTGGAATCCCAATTCGAAGGGCCTGCAAGCTCGGATTTCATAAAACATATGGGAGGTTGTAAATATCGGTGACTCGTCAATCCTATAGATGATACACCTTATATTTGTGTGCTTTGTATGTCCATTCCAACACAGAGGAGTTGTAACCTATATAAAATCGCTACGACTTTTGATCATTGCTCGTTCGTCTAGATTTCCACCGATTTTGGTCTAATTTTTCATAATTCAATACATTGAGCCAATTTCCAACATGTTCCAACTTTACCAAAACGACTCTATAATAAAGTTATAATAGAAAAAGAAAAGAAATGCGTACTTGTTTGGGGATGCATGGGCTGGCAAGAGAGGAAGGAATTGAAGTGCATATAAAATGGGAGAAGAGGAAAGGAGAATAGAAGGGGTACTAGTGTCACATGCCTTCATTTATACATGTCGCTGACCTTTCATCCTTAGCTATCAACTAGCTGCCCATCTCTTCTACGTCCTACACTTTTATATTCTCAAGCCCCTTCCACACCACTCATCACTCTTAGCTTCCCACTCCCTCATCCTCTTCTCATCATCCTCACATATATATATATAACCTATTTGCCCACAAATTCCTCCTCTAGAATCAACCCCCCATCACGTTACATCTTTTGCCCCAAATTAACTAAACATAGCTAATACACTGCAGATCAAAACTCCCTTACTTTATATACACATATTAGTTCATTAGCATACTTTGGGTTTAACTTTGATCGGCCGAATATGGGGCGATCGCCGTGCTGCGACAAAGTCGGGCTGAAGAAAGGGCCGTGGACGCCGGAAGAGGATCAGAAGCTTTTGGCCTATATTGAGCAGCACGGCCATGGCAGCTGGCGTGCTCTGCCTTCCAAAGCTGGTATGTAATTGCAAGGTCTACTTTCAGTTTGTGTCATATGAATGAATGAAGAGAGCTCTTTAGTTATTGGTTTGGACAATTATTTCAGGTCTGCAAAGATGTGGAAAGAGTTGTCGTCTGAGATGGACAAACTATCTAAGACCTGATATTAAGAGAGGCAAATTCAATGTACAAGAAGAACAAACCATTATCCAACTCCATGCTCTTCTGGGAAACAGGTTATTACTCTACTTCTGGTGTATTATAAGTGTCAATTAAGTTCAAACAAGCAATTTCATCATAACATAAGTGGAATACATAGAATTAGCATTTCAGAAGCCGGTCACGCCTACACCTCAAAACTGCTTCTATATGCAATTGAGCGAAAGCACTTTTACCCAAACATTATAATATCTATTTTTACATTCTGAACAAGTAAAAACAATTTTAAAAAATAGATCCAAACACGAGTGAAACAAAGAAAACTTTAACATAGACATATCTCAATTCTGATATAGAGGTGTTTGGAATTGATTATGCTTATTTTCTTTTTCTTCTCAAAGGTGAAATAGCATCTTCTTTTTTTAGAATAATCAGAATCACTTTATTAGAATATGGTCTTTCCGAATTCCTAAAAAATTGCTTTTAGGATCAATTTGAAGTATCCGAACTACTCCTGCATCTTCACCTGAACAATTCAATAACTTGTTCTTTTTTCTGAAAGTGGTTAAACAGTTTTCAAAAATAGATCCAAACAATCGGGATCAATAAGCTCAATCACCATGTTCATAAGAATTGCAGATGAACTTTTACACATGTTAGGCAAGACAATGTATTTGATTTTTGGGAATTTCAAATTCTAATATGGAATATCGTTGTTTTTATTAATTGTGTTGGTGTCAGGTGGTCCGCCATAGCCACGCACTTGCCGAAGCGGACGGATAACGAGATAAAGAATTACTGGAATACCCATCTGAAAAAGCGGCTGGCGAAGATGGGGATCGATCCGGTGACCCACAAGCCCAAGAGCGACGCCCTCCTGACATCCTCCCACGACGGCAACTCCAAGAGCGCCGCCCATCTCAGCCACATGGCCCAGTGGGAAAGCGCCCGCCTCGAAGCCGAAGCCCGCCTCGCCCGGCAATCCAAACTCCGGTCACCTTCCACCGCCGCTCTCGCCCCGGCTGCCGCATCTCCGGCGTGCCTTGAAATTCTAAAGGCCTGGGGTAGCCTCGACAGTGGGCCCTTCTCTCTCGCCGGACTCGAGGATCCCATCGAGTCTCCCACGTCGACTCTGAGCTATTCCGACATCAAGCCGCCGCCCATGTCTGGAATGCCGGCGCCGGAGCATTTACAGCCGGAGTTCAAACACGTCGCCGAGTTCCCGCCGGAGATGATGGAGAGCGCGTGGACGCACGACCAGATCCCCAGTGGGAATTTCGTGGAGAGGTTCACGGATCTCTTGCTGAGTGCGAATTCGACGGAGGAACGGTGCTTGTCGGAGGCCGGTAGCACCGAGTCCGTGAACGCCGGCGACGGCACCGGGGATCATTGTTATGAAGATAACAAGATTTACTGGGACAGCATACTAAATTTGGTTAATTCTTCGCCGTCGGATTCGCCTATGTTTTAGAAGCACAGAATAATAGAGTAAAAATTTCATTTCCTTCTACACGTTTTGCAAACGATCTTACTTTTATCTGTATCACAGACAATTCATTTTAGTCGAATGCTGAAAATTATCTGTTACACGAACAAAATATAGAGAACGTGTACGAAATGTGTCTGGGGGTATGTACAACAAAAATTGTTCTAAGATAGAGTATGGTGTTGATTGTATTTAGTGTCGTTATTTTGAAGAATTTCACTCAGGTCGCCTTTAAAAGTCTACATTGTATCCTAAACACCAAACGTTTATTCATTATTATTGTCGTTTCTATCATAAACCGGACCTAAAAGTGCCTTGTTTAAGTGACACAAAACCACCGATCAATTCATATCCCGTCAGTCAATCCGTTAAATTGGTGTATAGCCAGGAAACCATATGCCTACAAATATACAATAATAAGTTCCAGGAAACGATATCATATCTCAATTTTTTATTACTTGTTACGACTTATGAATGATCTCACTCCCATTTTGATGCTTTCGGTTTGAAGATAGCCATGTTTCCTGGATATTTAATTCGGTTCCAATAAAGTAAATATCCTAGATAATATTGTACTACGTACTACCTGCTCCGCAGTGTTTGAGGAATTGAATATATAGCCAAAACATGCCCCTCAATTTTGCATTACTCGAAGTACACAAATTGACTTTGAGTTTGCTGGGTGAGACTCAAACTGACTCATTAACTTAAATTCATAAAATTATGAGTAAAAGTCTTTGAGTCATTGAAGTGGTTGAATTTGAGAAAAAAATAATTTGAAATACAAGAGTATAATTTAGTAATAAAATAAACAAATGGACTAGAAACACATAAACCAACGCGGTCAGAAACAAGTTTGGTAAAAAAAGATGGACTCATAAACCTAATAAGTTAAAATGGTGGTCAACAAATGGACTTTTAAAGTTTGAAAAAATTATTGTCCGGATAGAAGTATACGTAGAATTATACTCTTTTGTTCCTGATAAACTTTGACTTAGCACATAAAATAATAAAATAAAATTGTATAATTGAAATTTGTTTAAGAGCGAGACAAATTGTAGTAGTTTTTTACGTAAAAAAGAGAAAGATGGTGTGAACTACAAATTTGCTACTTTAAAAAATGCAAAAAAAAAAAACTTTTTTGAGGCAATTAATTAAAGTAAAGTTGATGAACCGACGGGAGAGGTACCACACTCTAAAGATGTTTGTAATTGCTCTGATTTCGGTTTAATCATATAGCAAGTAATCAAATTAAACAAGAACATATCATATAAAATAAAATAGTAGCATATTTCACATAATACTAAATCATGTAATTAGCGAATATTCAGGGGTGGAGACAGGGAGGGGCTGGAAGTGGCCACGACTCCTGCAAGAAAAAAAATTATTAAGTATATATTATGTATAAATACTTTAAATCTGTAGAAAGTATGTTGATATTTTACACTTTGGCCCCTGCAATGTAAAATTGTTAAGGAACGGCCCCTTTAACCCTAAATGTCTGGCTCCGCCACTGCGAATATTACATCATAAATATTTTTTACTCTTTACTACTCCCTCCGTCCCAGGGAGAAGTTCCCGGGTTGACTTTCACACATTTTTAGGAAATAAAGTTACTGAGGGGTAAATTTTATTGTTTTGCACTGTTTCGACACTGTTTGGCACTGTTTCGACACTGTTTGGCACTGTTTGACACTGTTTAGCACTGTTTTAATGTAGGATAACTTTCCATTTAGGGAAATGGGAAGTTTCTTTTGGGACATCCAAATAAGGAAATTGGGAACTTCTCCCTGGGACGGAGGGAGTACATAATAATAATAATAATAATAATAATAATAATAATAATAATAATAATAATAATAATAATAATAATAATAATAATAATAATAATAATAATAATAATAATAATAATAATAATAATAATAATAATAATAATAATAATAATAATAATAATAATAATAATAATAATAATAATAATAATAATAATAATAATAATAATAATAATAATAATAATAATAATAATAATAATAATAATAATAATAATAATAATAATAATAATAATAATAATAATAATAATAATAATAATAATAATAATAATAATAATAATAATAATAATAATAATAATAATAATAATAATAATAATAATAATAATAATAATAATAATAATAATAATAATAATAATAATAATAATAATAATAATAATAATAATAATAATAATAATAATAATAATAATAATAATAATAATAATAATAATAATAATAATAATAATAATAATAATAATAATAATAATAATAATAATAATAATAATAATAATAATAATAATAATAATAATAATAATAATAATAATAATAATAATAATAATAATAATAATAATAATAATAATAATAATAATAATAATAATGATGATGATAATGATGATAATAATAATGATAATGATGATAATGATGATAATGATGATAATGATGATAATGATGATAATGATGATAATGATAATGATAATGATAATGATAATGATAATGATAATGATAATGATAATGATAATGATAATGATAATGATAATGATAATGATAATGATAATGATAATGATAATGATAATGATAATGATAATGATAATGATAATGATAATGATAATGATAATGATAATGATAATGATAATGATAATGATAATGATAATGATAATGATAATGATAATGATAATGATAATGATAATGATAATGATAATAATAATAATAATAATAATAATAATAATAATAATAATAATAATAATAATAATAATAATAATAATAATAATAATAATAATAATAATAATAATAATAATAATAATAATAATAATAATAATAATAATAATAATAATAATAATAATAATAATAATAATAATAATAATAATAATAATAATAATAATAATAATAATAATAATAATAATAATAATAATAATAATAATAATAATAATAATAATAATAATAATAATAATAATAATAATAATAATAATAATAATAATAATAATAATAATAATAATAATAATAATAATAATAATAATAATAATAATAATAATAATAATAATAATAATAATAATAATAATAATAATAATAATAATAATAATAATAATAATAATAATAATAATAATAATAATAATAATAATAATAATAATAATAATAATAATAATAATAATAATAATAATAATAATAATAATAATAATAATAATAATAATAATAATAATAATAATAATAATAATAATAATAATAATAATAATAATAATAATAATAATAATAATAATAATAATAATAATAATAATAATAATAATAATAATAATAATAATAATAATAATAATAATAATAATAATAATAATAATAATAATAATAATAATAATAATAATAATAATAATAATAATAATAATAATAATAATAATAATAATAATAATAATAATAATAATAATAATAATAATAATAATAATAATAATAATAATAATAATAATAATAATAATAATAATAATAATAATAATAATAATAATAATAATAATAATAATAATAATAATAATAATAATAATAATAATAATAATAATAATAATAATAATAATAATAATAATAATAATAATAATAATAATAATAATAATAATAATAATAATAATAATAATAATAATAATAATAATAATAATAATAATAATAATAATAATAATAATAATAATAATAATAATAATAATAATAATAATAATAATAATAATAATAATAATAATAATAATAATAATAATAATAATAATAATAATAATAATAATAATAATAATAATAATAATAATAATAATAATAATAATAATAATAATAATAATAATAATAATAATAATAATAATAATAATAATAATAATAATAATAATAATAATAATAATAATAATAATAATAATAATAATAATAATAATAATAATAATAATAATAATAATAATAATAATAATAATAATAATAATAATAATAATAATAATAATAATAATAATAATAATAATAATAATAATAATAATAATAATAATAATAATAATAATAATAATAATAATAATAATAATAATATTGGGTAGATGAAAAAATTGAATGGGAAAATTCAGTATTTTTACACTTTTGAGGAGTATATAAGCACTTCCAATGATTCATTTGAAGGACTTAACTAGCTAATTTTATAGATTTGGTCATGACTCGAGTATATAAGCACTTCCAATGATTCGAGCTTGACTCGAGTTTTGCTAATTAATTTTTATAGATTTGAGGGAAAATAAGATGCTTGAACCCGAGCTCGATTGGAGCTAATAAAATCTCTATTTTCAAAGTTATTAATAATATATTGATACATTCAAATAAATGTTTGGCGTTTGTCCTATATCATAAGTGAACGATACACTCATCCTCCCAAAATGCATGAGTTACACAACATACAAATTATACAGAGTATATAATTCTGTGTCTTAATTAAGAAAGAGATTTTATTTGATGCAGAATGAATATATATAATTAATTTGTAGTCCCAAATAATTATAAGATGCATGTTTTCACGTTATCATGATCTGATACGGTTGTGCTGAATTGGGCAAGGACATTCACAATCCGGTGAAGTCACCCATCTAATGACAAACAACGCATACACGATTGCTTCTGCTGCTAAATTATGCACACCATATCTTTTCTGTTTAGCTAAAAAACAGAAAAGGGAAAAGGGGGAATTGAAGTGATGGGAGGAAATAAATAGGCCAGGCTGTGATAATCCAATAGAGTTGACGAGTGAGAGGGGGGGATTGTAGCTAACAACGATGGGTGCTTTAGCAACGTGAAAAATAGCATTTATTTTATCATCAGTTAATTAATGATTAGCACATGGGTGCTCCCCTTCCTTCCCTCCGGGGACATCCAAACACCATTGGCCCATTACTCACGTTTTTCACCCTTTGTAATTAAATATATTTGTACCTTATATTTATTTATATACGGAGTATATGGTGGTAATAGTAAAAACAACCCCTCAAAATTACCATTACCCAAAATTACATTCAACCATGACACTAATTGCCTGCCTTTCTGTTACCTTAGAACTGAGAGCGCACTGATTTTTCTTGGATGTGGGCCCACAGCTAAGAAAAAATGGAAAGTTTAAGAAAGGGTTAAGATTTGAAGAAAAAGGTAGATGGATTTTTCAATAACTTACTAAACCATTGAACGTTAAAAAAGATACCCGAAATGAATGCTAGGCAAAACAATAACAACACATGGCCTTTGCGCTAGGAGCCTAGGAGGACACACACAAAGAAATGAAGTCTTAATTCTGAAGGAGTTTGGAATCGTTCAAGATAAATCGATATATGAAATAGAGTTGAGAATAATAAATATTCTGAAGGAGTTTGGAATCGTTCAAATAAATCGATATATGAAATAGAGTTGAGAATAATAAATATTCTGAAGGAGTTTGGAATCGTTCAAGATAAATCGATATATGAAATAGAGTTGAGAATAATAAATAACAATGTTAATGATAAATGATAACAATAAAGAGTTAGAGAGAAAGACAAAAATAATACTTCCTCCGTTCTTAAATAAATGCAACGGTCAACATTTCATACTTGCCGAGACACAACTTTGACCATTAATATAAATGATTTTGTATTAATTAAAAAATTAAAAAAATTAGATTATGAAAATTTACAATGAGACAAATTTAACAATATTTTTTTCATAAAATAATATTATTGCGTTAATAAATAAAACATAGTTAAAGTAGAATATGTGAATAGTGTAAAAGTCAAAGTGTTCATTTATTTAAGAACGTAGGTAGTATATCATTATTTACTGCTATAGGTCGACCCTGGCCTCCTCCTTTAGGACAGGTTTAAGCATAGCATCACTTAGTACATGTTTACTTCACGAGTTACTAAATGGTGCTTATTAGAGCATCTCCATTCATGATGTTAAAATAAATAGTTTTTCTATTACACATTATTGCCACATCATCACATTTACTTAATAAATTTTAAATGATCTTAAATCTTAAAACTCTTCATCAACTATGATACTCAAAATAATTAGTTTTTCTAAACCATGCATTAAATAGAATTTAACTATAACCTAAAATAATTTGAGGTTCAAATCTTGATACTGGATTTTCTTTTTCAATAATCTCCCTTAATAATGTCTCACTTACAATGATAATCATTCAAATAATCTTCCACATCATCTAAGTAAACCTCAAATAATCTATTGAATGTGGATGCCCTTAAGATTCACGTTAATAAGCGGCGCGTAAAATAAGCAGTGTATACTTCAAATGATTTAAAACATCATTTAACATTAGAATGTCCAAAATAACCTTATACATATATAGACAGACAAACATCCATGTACACAGGTACATAATATTTAGTATAATATGTGGGGGTCACCTCGTACGCGTGCACATACCCTTAACCCCTACCCCTCCCTATACCCCGTATCGCTCTACCCCAATTTAAATCAGACCCCTACCCCTTCCTCCCCTTACTATGACCTTACCCTCTACCCCTACCCCCTACAACCCTCAACCATCATACCCCTAACCCCTTACCCCACTCATGGGGGTGGGGTCAGGGTGGGGGTGGGATATGGTAGGATGGTAAGGGTTATGGGGTAAGATAGGGGGTGGGATGGAGTCAAGGTAGGGGCAGGTGATAGGGGGTAAAGGTTTAGGGTTGGGGTAGGGGGATGTGTACGAGGGGTGGGGGTAAGGGGTATGGTCGGGGGGTCAGGTGGGGTCAGGATTCGGTCAAGGTAGGGGATAAAGGGGTAGGGTCGAGGTAGGATGGGGGGTGGTGGGTGAGGGTAAGGGGCGGGAAGGGGTCGAGGTAGGGGCAGGTGGTAGAGGTAAAGGGGTAGGGTCGAGGTAGGGTAAAGAGGTAGGTACGAGTGAGTGGGGTCGGGGTGGGTAGGAGGTAGGAGGGAGGGCGTGGGTCGGGTTAGGTCGGGTGAGGTGGGTATGGTAGGGGTAGCGGGTAGAGGGGTAACAATAGGGTAAGGGCGAGGGGTAAGGCTAAGGGTAAATTCGGAAACTGAAAAAGTTCAAGTACCGCTTAATAATAATACATGAGTGGTGGTATGCTTAGTAAGCGGCACTTTAAGCACCTCTTTTGATTAGTCGTAAGCAGCTTTTTAAGCAGCTTGCGTGTGTAATTTATCTGTCTTGCTAACCTTACTGTGACTTTAGCAACGAAGTAAACACCTCTTTAGTCTTCTATACATCTAGCTAAACATAACTATTGCAATTGAAATTATCAAATCTTATCTTCAATATATATATATATATATATATATATATATATATATGTTACTTGGGGGTGTTTGGAACTGATTCTGCTTCTGCTTCTTTTTTAAAACAGAATGATAGGAATCTACCTATCTTAGGAATTGGGCCTAATAGATTGTTAAGAATTGGGCCTAATAGACCAAGAATATTAATAAGTGTAATAGACTGGTATAAATAGAAATAAGTTGGGAATAGTAAGTACGCTGTTAGACGGTTAAGTCTTGGGATTGGGAAGTTGGAGTATTAGCTCCTTCTTGGAACTGTCTGTACTGTCTCTCTTTCTGAATAAATTTGAGTTTCCTAAAACAGGATTAATTAAGATATACGGATGAACAAATTTTAAGTAGGTCCTATTTATATCAAAAGTTAATGAAAGAGTCTCATTCTCGACAATTTTCTCCTGAAAAAACTTCATTCAAAGCCCTCATAGCTAAGAGCATCGTACCATCGCAATTTCTGAGGATTGATCCACCCTGAAAAAACTAGCATCCGTGTTTAATTTCAGCTTTTGCTTTGACTTGTTCCATCTAATGGCCAGAATCATTGGCCTTGAGGGTTTATATGAGTGAGGAATGATCCATTCCTCATATAAGAAGTCATCAACCTTACCAATCTTCATTGTAAAGATACTGGAAATTCAATCGTGAGGGTAAATTTTAATCTGAGCTAGAAACTGGATCACAATTCGAAACCCAAAGAATAGTCACATAGGTCTTCCAAATATGCTAGCTTTTTAGAACCTACCTTTAGCCACCAAGTCATGAAAACCGCCTCATTATAGTGTTTGTGTGGTTGATAAATAGGAATGCCAAAGATGTTCATAAAATAATTCCAAATAGTTCTAACTTTGGAGCAATTGAAGAAGATATGATTGATAGAATCTGAATGAGCCCTACAAAGAGGACAGATTGAAGGGTTCAAAATCATTTTGAATCCACCTAGGTTATCAGCAAGATAATTCTGAAGAGTTTCCATTTAAAAAGCTTAACATTTAGGGGTACCACAGATGTTTATAAGAGAAAGTTGTGTGATTTTTATCTCAAACCACCACATAAGCCTAGCTGAAAGAGAACTTGCCATCAATTTCATGTTCCCAAAAGAAGCTGCCATCAATATCAACCCCACATAATGGGCTGACCAAGGTATTTATGGAGCATATTCTAGGATATCTAGCCTTGATAAAGTTTGACCACAGAGACAGGGCCGATCCTAGCATTTTTTTGGCCCGAGTCGAATTTTTGTAAAAGGCCCTTAAATAATGTAAAATTTGGATATTAAGATTTGTAAGCACTAATTTAATTTATATGCCTACATCAAATAATTAATCCCACATAGTTGCATGATATTATTTTGATTAATACTATTTATATTGTTGTTATCTTAATAAAATAGAAAAAAATTGTATATACATACTACTAGAATTAAATTATTTATAGGCCCCTATTATTGACCAAATTTTTTGGGCCTGAGGCAACTGCCTCTTTGCCTCAAGAGAGGGTTCGGCCCTGCACAGAGAATCACTAGTCTTCGATTTTCACCATAATTTAACGGAAAAGCTTTTTCAATGTCATTAGAGCCCTGATACCCAATCACCCTCCTCAGTAGGGAAGCATAAGTGTGACCATTTTAACCAGTGATACTCAGGCTTAGAGCATCTCCAATGCTAAAACGTTAACGGTGCATACGTGGTATGAGAAATAACCAATTAAAAAACATTAAATACAATATCTCTCTCCTTCTTTCCACGGTCTTATGTGTTTATGGTAAGTTTTTGTCTGCAATGTCAATCACAATGTCTACATTTAGACATTGTGCTTGACATTGTGAAGAAAAACTTACCAAAATGGTGTAAGATCCTTCAAATAAGGAGAGAGATATTGTATTTATTATTTTTTAATTGGTTATTTTCCATGCCACGTATGCATCGTTAACGTTTTGCCATTGGAGATGCTCTTAGCATTAACGACACCTTAGAGGAAAGAGGTTATATAGTTTCTAATATAAGAGATAGAATTTAGGACATGCTTCATTAAAACTAAACGGCCACCTTGAGAAAGATTTTTTCGTTTCCATGTAGAGACTTTAGAGTCAAATTGATTAACAATATTCATGCAGTCATCAGCTTTATTGATGCCTTTGTAAAGGTTGACACCAAGATATTTTATTAGAAGAGCAACAAGTTTCATGCCAAGCAAACTTTGAATAGTGTGGGTTCTTGATCTAGGGTGCTTACCATAGAGGAAAGAGCTCATGTGTAGGTTTGATGTTTGCCCTTATGTCAATCCCAGCATCATCTCTACTTCACTAAAAATCCAAATTTTTCAAAAAATATATTTAAATTTATGAATTTTATGATCTTTCATAAACATCAATATGTAGGATGTTTTTACTTGGACTATTTTTAGTCTCAAATCAAACCAGACTTAAACAGATTAGACCAGACTTAAACAGATCGAACCAGACCAAGCTTAAATAGATCCGACCAGACCAAACCGAGTTTAAATAGACCAAACCAAACCAGACTTGACTTCCGTAGTTATAAAATATACAGAGATCAGACGTTTACCAGCCCAGATCAGAATTAAACAAACCAGACCTGACTGGACCATCAAATTACAGTTCAAGTAAAAATATCCGTAATATATAAAATGAAAAAAAATCTGATGAAATTATCTTTGAAGCCAAAAGAACAGTAAACACAAATTTTTAATTCATGTAATCTTCACAAATAACTGAATATTCCATAATTGTACTTTACTTGAATTAAGTTCATTGTTGTTAAAAAAAGTTCATTGTTGTTAATCGAAAAATGTTAAAAAAATAATACTCCCTCCGTCCCAATATAAAAGACACGTTTGCGTTTCCATACATTTTTAGAGTGAACACTGTTTGGACACTGTTTGGACATTGTTTGGACACTATGTAGAACTATTTTGTTTGCCAAAAGAGAAATATGTCTTTTATATTGGGACAGCCTGAAAAGAAAAGTGTGTGTTTTATATTGGGACAGAGAAATTTTTTACTTTTACATCAAAATGTATATTTTTATTTCATAATTATTCAGGGGAAAAATTAAAAGAAAAATATTACATATAATAATTTAATTAATCTTTTACAAAATTGATATATAAGAAAATACACTAAGTGTATTTTGTTGACGATGCTGAAATACACAAGAAAATAAACAAGTCTAAGCATTGTTTTCATACATACATAATCCATTTTTTACATTTTGGTCTCTCCACCCCACAACCCGAACAGGCCAAAGAACTAAACAGTGGTTCAGTCTTCAGACCTTAAACCGGCAGTTTTGAATTAAAACCCAATTATCCCTGGAAATTTTAGAGTCCATTGCAGTAGTTTAACTATTTTTGCCATTCTCAATACTTCAAACGTCAACATTCCATAACAGTTCATCACCGATTCTTATCGGCGATTCAGGCTATCAAAAAATAATCTAAAAGATGAAAAGACTAATTCTGTCCATGTTTCGACAAAGTAAAGTGCACTAATTAAATCCCCTCCACCACAGTTAGCCAGAACAGCTAAAGAACGAAGAAGTTTTGTGAAGAGGAAGAAATGTAAGGGCAGAACAGGCAGCAACAACAAGGGAGAAGAGTTGAAGCTGCAAAGCGAAGCCCTAATTCATCACTTTCTGCACTTTTCAATAGGCGTCTGGGCAATTGCTAAGCGGCCGCAGAAACCTACGTACAGTGCATAATCATTCTTCAAATCATTGAATGGATGAATTACTGCTACAGCTACTATTAAATATCAGTAAATCTGATGTCTACCGGAAAAAACGGGGAAGAGACATCAATTAGACGCTCCGCCTGTGTGGTGTATCCTGAAGGGCATCGTCAAATTTGGTGATGAAACGGCTATGATTTAAAGGGAAGAAGCTCCAAAATATGGAAGAAGACCTAGCTAGCATTTTACATTTTGAACGCCAAGTCCATTCGGTTCGTTTCTGGCCCATTAAACTTGCATAGTACATAGTACATACTGCATACTCAAGTAGTGTTCTAAGCCCAACTGCAACTCTAATTCTCAACCATTTTTAAGGAGTTCTATTCAAGTCATATGGATTTTACGAATTCTCTCTCTAGGCGAGAGCTTTCTCTATAGGCGGCTGTCTCCCTGAGTTAGGGGTTGTTTTTCTCCCCTTTCGTCTTCGATGAAGTGCGGCTTTCTTGTGTGGCTTTCGTCCACCTTTCGTGAGGCTGTCTTATTCGGCAGACTGCAGCACCTATATGACGGCCAAAGGTTGTGTACCCCTATCAACAGGTGAAGAGTTTCGAGTATGTTGTTCATGGTTGAGATCAGAAGGTCATGGACAAAGCGTGAGGCTATGGGCTGGAACAGATCTAGACCGGAGGCAAGGAGCGGAAGATGCTACAATATTGTTGGACCGCCCCCCTCCTGAACTGCCGTCATGGAGTGCAAGAGAGTTTAGGGTTTGGAAGCAGTATTTTAATTTTATTGTTTGCTTGTTATTTATTTTTCATTATCAGACTGTTTATTTTTTTGTTGGTTACTTTTATTGTTGTAAGACTCTTGCATTAGGATTTGGTGATGGGAGATTTGCTTTAACAGTCGTTGGCTCATTTATGCCCAATATAGGATCAACGAGTTATATTGCTTTTTTGGAGGTGATTAACTCTAAGTCTGGTTCGAGGGCTGACGGTTGCATGTGGTTCTTTTGTCATTTTAATCCTATCTGAATGTTGCGATTTGAATTTAGGTCACCCGTTTTGACGGGAAAAAAGGAGTTCTATTCACAATCACACAATTGAATCATTCATACTGGAATGGGGGTAATATTATTTATTAAAATAAATTTAAGTGGTTGTGAATAGAAACAATGTGACTGAATAGAATTTTCTTGTAAGAAGTTTGTGTATTGAGTTAGTAAATTCGGTCTTTCTCTAAAACATAGTATCATTAATATATTTACCTGACATAATAAATAAAATTGGAGTTTTATTGTTTGGTTGATAATTGAAGCCTATTTTTCACAGAATTACTAGAAAAACTGTGTAACACCTGGGGAATGCCCCGATAGTGTCACATTAATGTGATTTGAAATAGTAAATATTAATACATAACATGTTGTTTGATAATCCCTATTTTCAACTTATCAATGTTATCAGCCAATTTTTATCAAACACACAACTTTTAATTTCACACGCTGAATTGTATTATTATCAAAATAAGTAAGGTTGAAGTTACTTTTTTGTTTCAATTGTCTGATATTATATTTTTTGATATCATAATTTAGCATACTCAGCCAATTCAATTCACCTGCATCAGCCGGTGTTTCATCGATTTGAGCAAACTTAGCTGATACCGACCATTTAGATGTTATCAATTTTATTTGTGGTGATAATATTTACCATAAATTACGTGAGTTTTGTTCAATGTTGTAAAAGGCGCTACGCGCTAGTCGGGCTCACCTGCAGGCCACCGCTTCATCACTTATCATGCGTCAATCGCCGCTATCATCTCCGTCTCTCTGTTCTGAGCTTCATGTCACCCCTTTTCGCCGCTTCACAATCATCTTCGTCTCCTTCTCCTAGTCTCTACGTTGTCATTGCGTGCCATCCTCGATCGTTCTTCTTCTCTTTTTCTAGTTCATGATTGGGATGTGAATCAGCAATTGGTTGTGGAGATGACGACCTTTAACAGCAGGCGGGGGTCGATGGTAATTGTGGTGGGAATTGACTATGTGTGATTATAATTTCCAATGGGGCTGTTGCAAATGGTTGCACGATGGGGAGGCTGGCTGTTGGCGAGGGTGTTGGGGAGTCCGGTTGGGGGTGGGAGCGGCCAGTTGAATCGTTAACAACGGTTGTCATCAGGATCAGTAACGACTGTGGTCACCCGAATCGGTAACGGTTGTGGTCATCAGAATCGGTAATATTGGTGGTCAGTGTTGGGGGTCATGAATGACGGAGTTCATTGGCCGACATTGATTACTGGTGGGCAAGGGTGGTGGTTATTGGAGGCCGGTGTCATTGTCGGCGGCCATCGTGGCTGTCAGAGGTGATGGTGGCCGGAGGTGGTGGTCAACGACAGTGGCTGGTGTTGGTCATATAAGACTGGGTAACCATGGTCAGGTCTAGTAACGAACAGTAACATATGTGGTCGAGTAGCTGTAACTAGTCCGATCTGGTAACTATCACTAATCGAGTGAGGTAACTGTAATTGATCGGGTCACTTCACTGGACGGAACAGATCACTGGGACGAGTCATGTCACTGTCAAATGAAATTTACTGAGGATAATTTAGTAGAAAATGCTTGGTGTACACTATTTTGTGTACACCTTTGACACATCCTGTCTTGTACACAAACATAGTTGTCTGTATACAGACAATTCGTATTGAAATACGTAGGTTATCTGCATACAGACAATTCATATTGAAATACATAAGCTATATGTATACCGACAGTTCATATTAAAATGCAGAAGTCGTATATAGAGACGACTGTGTCCGCTTAGACAAACGATGTTTGTCAAAGGTATATGTAAAATGGTGTATGCCAAACATTTTCTTTTTTAAATTTAAAAGATATCTTTTTTGTCCATTATCTACTTTTTAGTGCACTATTATAGTCTGCCACGGTTTGCACTCAAGTTATTTTTAGGAGAAAGAAATTACATAATCAGAAAATACATTAAAATCTTTAAAAAGTCACAAAACCAGAATCAAATTTGATAAAAATTTGATATACGTAGTACAAACTAAGAATTTAAGAGTGATTTATGTAGACCAAGTGGATATGAAATGAGACAATAATAATAAGACGGAGGTAATACTCCCTCAGTAACAAAAAAATCCACCAAATGGTATACACTATTACAACTACTTTTTTTTGGATTTATCCTACATTCCATCACATTATTCCATTAACTTCTCATCATACCCTCAATAATTCATATCATCTTTCACTATTCTTAATCTACCTACTTTTGAAATGAGAATGTTTTTAAGTCACGGAGGTAGTAATATTTATGACAAACACCATTTTAGTTATTTTCATTTATTTTTTCTCAATTTTATAAATAAAATACTTCCATATATAAAAAAATTCAATATTTATCTTTCCTTACTGTTCAAGGCCATGCCTATCCTTGATTCATGTAACAGAGTATACCATTTGGTGGATTAGTTTAAACTGGTTGTCAGATTGATTTGATGAAGTTCGGAAAGGAATTCAAGGTACATCTGGAAGAAACCCTCCCCGAATGGAGGGACAAATACCTGCGATACAAGTACTTGAAGAAGCTACTCAAGTCCCTCCCTGCCCACTCCTCTTCCTCCTTGAATCCGGTTGGCGACGGAACTGGTGGAGACATTTTCCATCCACCCCAGCCCCCTGAGCTCCATGACTGGTTCATCAGATTACTAGGTGAAGATCTCGAAAAGTTCAATGATTTCTATGTCGAGCAAGAAGAGGAGTTCATTATTCGCTTTCAGGTTTACTTTTTCCTCTGCCACATACGTCAATTCATAGGTTTTAGGGTTTTCTTTCATTTTTTATTCCTCTGCAAAATTTTACGTCTTATCGTTTGATACCTAATCAGTGCTGTATCTGCTTGTCAGTTTTCCAAAAATAGAAAATTGAGGTATTCTATATTAAGGAAATCTCAACTTCCGTCCAATTTGTTGTTGTTGATAAGGTTGCATCAGGTTTCCAGTTTCTGCATATAATTTTAGTATTTGTTCACCTTCTTATAGCGCCACCATAATCATATAACAAACAGTTTTAAATTGATAAGTTACATGATGACCGTGGGTGATGATGAGCTAGAGGATGAATTAAATAGAGATCTGGGTTTTAATAAACACAAGAAGGGTGAAGGAATTCTGATTGAGGAAACAGATGCAGTGAGCTCTACCTGCTACCATAAACTGTTTTTCACACGCAAAATCTAAAAGAAAATTCAATCGGCAATCCAAGAAGTGTCTGGAATGCAATAATGATTAGCTTAGAAGTATGTGTGAATAACAGAAAGGAATAAGAAGAATATACAAGTGCCCCTGTTCATTTAAAATGGGATGTCCTCTTGTGGCATATATAAGAGTTGGAAAAGGGATCAAATTTCCACCCTGAGGATATTCTTTCTGTATGCTGGAGTATAAAATAGAACCTCTACCAAGTATTCTCAGTTTGCATTATGCATATTTTGCCAATCTTGTGGTACTTTAAGGCAATTAAATGACATGGTGTGTGTCTTAGAGATGAATATTGAATTATATGCTTTGAACAGTAATACACGATGAACCGCAAGACATAGTATGCAGGGCGGAGCCAGCCAACCAGGGCACTGGGCCGGTACAAAGAATATTTTTGAAAAAATGTTTACGCAGAATTTTGTACTCCAAAAACATAGACATTATTTAAATTTGGGCTGGTCCAGGGCCAGGGTTGCCCCCTAGCTACGCCCCTAGCTACGCCCCTGATAGTATTTGTACAATTGGTCATTTGGAACCGGGAAAACACACATGAAAGAAATAAGGAGGAGATAACATTGGGGGGGGGGGGGGAATATACCAACAAAGAGATTCCAAGTTTCAAACTGAATAGATCAAATTTAGATTTATGTTCTAACTCAGTAATAAGCTTCACTACGAAAAGTACTGTCGATCACCAAATGGTATGGGGTCCTGAATTGTAAAGTTTGAAGCTAATAGTTGCTACAGGAACTGAAGGAAAGAATTGAGAGGGTGAAGGAGAAGAGTGGAAGAGATGTAGCTTTCACATCAGAGAGTGAGTTCAGTGAGGAAATGATGGATATACGCAAAGACTTTGTTGCTATACATGGGCAGATGGTCTTACTTCAGAATTATAGCTCCTTAAACTTTGCAGGTAAAGTGTTTGCTTCCCCTTTTCTCTTTTTTTATCTGCTAATTTGCTACTAAAAGAAAATTAAACTCTTGTTAGGTTCAAAAGTGAGGAGGCGAGGAAAATGGAAGTGTTTAAAAAAAATATTTTTGTTTTGATGAAGGAATGAGAAAATATGTAAAGATAAGGTATTAATGTACTTTTTCTGTAATTAAAATGTACTCCACACACATAAAAGCAGAGTCACGTTTGAAAACTTGTGTTTGTCGGTTTGTCCCAAAAAGAGTCCTAACTGAAGAAAGCTATTTTTCATTATATTTAGTAAACTAACAAAAAATTGAAATGCAGATAGAATTGATGATTCCCCAGTAGTACCGTAATAAAATTTAAAAGCAACATCCTGATGAAACATGACTTTCTTTTGAGATTGAGGCCGTAATAATCTGCATGTACAACAATAGTGATGTAGAATCAATGAGCCATATTGGTTAAAAACAAGTGAAAGATCAAAAACATGGTGAGATATGAAGTGTTTGGAGTATTATATAGCTCCCCACAATTTCCTCCCCCTTCCCCTAACCCCCCCCCCCCCCCCCCAACTGAAGCATTTTGTAGCTCCTCCACACATTCTCCCCCTCTTCCAACCCTCCAACCAAACAAAAACTATGGTGGTGATGCAACTTGTAATTTGCTTGTCTGTGCCATGATGATGATCACCAGGTCTTGTAAAGATCCTTAAGAAGTATGATAAGCGAACCGGGGAATTGTTGCGCCTGCCTTTCACACAGTATGCTGTTCACCAACCTTTCTTCACAACTGAACCTCTTACCAGATTAGTTCGTGAGTGCGAGGCTAACCTTGAGCTTCTGTTTCCGTTAGAAGCAGAAGTTATTGAGGAAAGTGCTCCTTCTGTCCCTGATCATCCGGAAGCTTCCTCTTCAAATGCTTCAAACATCTCCCGAGACACTAAATTGCAGCTTGGGGAGAAAAATGTGGACATATATAGGAGCACACTTGCTGCAATAAGAGCCATACAGGGCCTACGGAAGGCAAGCTCAACTTCAAACCCATTATCATTTTCATCTCTCTTGGGGGATGTTGATAGTACAGGTTCAGTAACTGCAGAGAACTCTTCTGGCTCCGATACCATGTTTAGCTCTCGGGATGAAGAAGAGACAAACCAGGTGGCTAAAGTTTCTCGTTCCCCTAAATAGAAACTCATTTTGTTTTTTGACTTTTAAATTCCGAGACAGTATATGGTTTCATAGTAATAAATGATAGCCTATACAGTGTAACGTGAGGCCAAAATCCGAAGGGGTGGCATACTAGTTTCTCTTTTCTTTTCTTTTCGTTGACTCAATTGGTTGTGAATGAGAATATAGAATTTGTTGATTTGATTCCTTGTATCTCTCTGAAGTGTATAGAATGATGACATTGTGTATTGCCTTCATTACAAAGAGCACCTCATTTATCATGTTCTAAAACCAAGCACCAAGGTGGAGCATAAGCAGGATCATGGCAAAGCATATAATTGGTCTGGTACACGCCTAGTTACACACCGGCTTACACGCCCAAATCACCAAATGTAATTGTATGTGCACAACAATTACATTTGGGTTTTAGTAAAGGGAAGTGTATTTGACTCTAAAAAATGAATTGTCTGTGTGCACAGACAATTCGGGATCACAAACACTTCCCTTTACTAAAACCCAAGTTTAATTGTCTGCGCACAGACAATTACACTTAGGTGTGTAACTCGGCATGTAACCGGGCGTGTACACAAAGCAAAATTCTTTTATTTAAATCACGTGTATTCAAGATTTGACTGTAACTTTCAAATTAAATAATTAATACTACCTTCGTCCCCTTTTAAATGTCCCGGAGGAGGGTGGAACGGGTTTTAAGAAAAGTGGGTTTGTGTGGTTGATATTAATTGATAAAGTAAGAATAAAGTAAGAATGATTTTGAGCCACACAAACTTTATCAAATAAGGTATGAGACATTTAAATAGAGACATCCCAATATGATAAAACGGGACATTTAAAAGGGGGCGGAGGGAGTAACACATTGTCTAGTACAAAGTACTTGGTATTAAACTAAAACTACTGAATTGTTTATTCAGGTCTACATATAAGGTTTGTAACACTAGATTTGGCTCAAGCAGCTGAATTTGCTGAAATTTGTGAACTCCTAACTAGAGCGTTGGATTGTTTCAATTAGCTTAGTTGTGAAAAATTATATTTAAAATATACTCCATACTTAATTAATAAAATATGTAAAAGAATATCAAAAAATAGTTTTTTGAAGAATAGTTAACTTCAACCTTAATTATTTTGTAAATTACACAATTTAACTCAAATCAAAAGTTACATATTTGATAAAATAGTTGATTGATATACTTAAAATATGAGTTATCACACAAGCTCTTAATGTAACATGTTTGTGAACTTTTCCAATGCACTTCCGTTGGTTTTTATTACTAAGGGTAGAACTATAAAACATAATTTATACTCCATCGATTCACTAAGAAAGTTTTTAATCGGATTTGTTTCAATCTCAGAAAAGGCCAAATCGGAAGATTAGACTAGATCAGAATAAATAAAATAGATTTAAACAGATCATATATATACATAATAGTAAAATTTACATGCACCATATAGGTGGCGTTACGTTTAGCAGACTAGATTGTGCCACCGTTTAGCAGACTAGATCGGAACCCCGATCAAAAGCTTTGATTCCAATTTAAAACATCATAAACGAACCAATGATAAAACCCATAAAAAAACTCAAAGCTTGACATTTAAATCGGACTAGGAGTCTAGGATTAGTGGGACTATAGCAAAAGATCGATCCAATTTGAAATATATAAAAAAAAGTAGCCAATCAAGAGATGGGATTAGGCGGGTCGAATTGAGAGTCCAAGAACATCCATCAACAAAAACGGTTAAAGCAGAAGAATGCAAATTGAAGTAGCTGGCTACTATATGCTCTTGTCTTCATGGTTAAATGGCAGGGGCACAGACTTGAATGCTCGAAACTTTCCGACATTATTCAGGTGCTCATTCTCCAACCTGTTCAGTGAAATAACAAACAAACTCCACCAATAAGCCTTCTCCGCATATGAAAGTCACAATGAGGCTACTGGCTTAACTATGCTAACCTGAAAAAATTCCAGATGCCTCGGCGAATGATTTCCAGACAAGCAACAATTGCAGCTGTGGCTTTTCTATGTAAAAATGGCAGGTTAAAATCTAGAACTATTTGCATCCATACAAGCCTCAATATCATATTCGTTACCTGCATTTAAATTGCATTAAAAAAAATTCATCAAACCAATGATGTAAGATGCGGTGTTGTCAATCCTGGACAGCCGAGCAGAACGGCCTACCGGAAATTGCTATAGCTGTATAGCCGGTAGTGAATAGCGGGATGACAGCTATTTTAGATAAATTTTATGGTGAGTACAAGATTATATGTATGCATATAATTACATACAATACACATAAAATCCATAAAATATTAAACTTCATGACTTTCACATTTAAAATCTTTCTAACTATTCCACTTCTAAACATGACAAAGGCTTTGTGTGGCCTTTAATGAAGCAGTAGGCTCCATGCCAAACAAGCTCCTAGAAGATCTGTGGCTGTTGTGGAAGAAGCAGAAATGAGATGACTAAGAAAGTAAGAATGATATTTTTGAAGGCTGGGATGAGTTTTATGTACTTCCAAGGGTTTTAGTGGGAAGGGTTTTAGTGGGATTACTTTATATTTCAAAGAAGCCTACATTTACCCCTTTAAAATTCAAAAGTACCCTAAAATTCTCTAACCCTAAAACTTACAAATAGGAAATAAGAAAGTTTCTTTAATGGACTAAAACATAGACAAAGTGCACAAACATGATCACCATTATATTCTGTCTAAAATAGGACTTATTCACTCCTAATTAGAAAAGTTTTATTCTTATAATAGAACTAAGTAACTTATTTTTAGAATAAAACACCGATACACTTATACCTATTTCTACACTTTTTCAATGTTTTACTCCTATTTGTATCCTTAAAATTGTGTTCTTGAAGTTTGTGTAGAGAAGAGAGAACAAAAAGGAACCATAAATTAAATAATAGGAACCAAAATTTAATTGCTCAAACAAGAAAATGACAAAGTTCTGGGACAACCAATAAAAGAAAGATAGGCAAAGTAATAAGGGACACATGTAGTATTTAATATGGATAAGTAACTATATGGGCGATTAAACTTGTCAAAATTATAAGGGACGGAGGGAGTATGATCTAATATATACTCCGTAATATTTTAAGGGTTGTAATTTCATCTAAAATATCAAACCTAATAGAAAAGTAGCTGCAAGTTCCTTTTTACAAACACTTACAATTGCAAGAAAGTAGATTGCTTTGTTTGAAACAAGGAGTTTGTCCCTCAACCAAGGGTTTTTGGAACCTTTTTGGAATAGACCCCAATCTCTAACAATGTCCCAATAGGTATTGGCAATTGTGGTAATTCCAGAGAAGACTATGGCTAAAACTCTCAGTGTTGTTCCTTTGTTTAGATCATACAGTGTCCTTAGAACCAGAGCAGCCACTGTTGAAAAGCATTTCAGACCATTGAACCCTTGGCTGTGATCTTTCTCCTCAATAAAGCGACGAAGGCACTATAACATCATCATCATCCAATGTAGTAATGAGTTGATAGCTTTTGTTTCTGAACAAATTAACTGGAGTATGACATAATGATCGTCAGGCTGGTTAGCCATACCTGAAGTAACCGAATCCAGAATGGGATGACTGCTACAATTATATATAAGATTTCATAGACATCACTCTGTTGACATTTGTTTGATCTTTGCCTGAAGTTTCCCCATCCGTAATAACAGATATAGAATTCCAAACTCCTGATGGCCTGAACCTGAAATTTAAAAGCAGCAGTTAATGACTTCTTAAACATAAATGGTGGATGGATGTTTTAGTGTGTGTTTGGTAGAGATTATATTTGGAGCTTTTAACTTATTTTAAGTTCCAAATAAACTATTAGTCCTGTCTAGTAAAACTGATAAAGAGCTTAAACTGTACTTTTATTTGAAACCAATCTCCTATAGCATTTCAGAAACAAGTTCCTAGCTTTTTATTTTGTTTTCACTGATAACCTTAATTACAACAATAACACTCTTTAGCATAATAGCATCCATCTATATTCAACATAAGGAATGCCCTCTTTACATAATTCAACTACCAGCCATTAATTTTCCAAACGCCTCTAGAGCTCTCAACTTTCAGCTCCTAGCTACATGCCTTTCAGCTACTTTGCTGCGTGTAACTAGTTTTTCAGCTGTGAACAGTAAGGGGCAAGAACGGCATGAAGGTGGTGCTTGGTAACACTTAAAAGCACCACCTGATTAGTGATTACTTGACTAGAGTCACTACGCAATCAGGTGCAGACATGTTGGGGAGTAATGAGCATGAACAAGTACGGCCAGAGAACAACCAGACTTGCGGGGCGTTTCTTCCTCTTTTGTGGTTGGTCAAACCAATGGTTTACCATTCCTTACTGGTAGCAGGTAGAACCAGGCCCTTTTCGGTGGATAGTAAAGCTGAGGTGCATGACTGCATGTCTTTTTCTCCATTACCAGTACAACAATAACAACATCCAAGCCATAGTCCCAAATGAATTTGGAGGTCAGCTAACATGAATCAATATATGATATCAGAGCTAAACAAGGTAAAAAAGATAGGATAAGATAAAAAGACAAAAAAGATTGGATAAACGTATGATAAAGATAAAGATAAAAAAGATAAGATGATAAAGAAGATAAGAAAGATAAAAAGGATAACAAATAAAAAAGAGATAAAAAGGAAGATGAAAAGGTAAAAAGATAAAAAAAAAGATAAGAAAAATCGCGCTTTTAGTCCTTCAAATAGTACCGATATTGAAATGTAATCCCTGTGTTTTCAAAGGACTAAAAGGCGATTTTCCCAAAAAGATAAAATGAGATTATTTTCCATTATCAGTAGATGATCAAATCATTTCTTTTTACGGTTCCTGTGTAGAGTCTACATTAATGTGGGGTGAACAAATTGGAGTGTTCCTTTGGGATTGTCCAATTATATGACTCATCAAGTTTTAGCTGTGGCATTATTATTGTTACTCTCGTTATACTTCTCAGTTTGTCCCTCGCCATCCCCTAATAAAAACTAGTTATTTAGCTACACGTGCCTGATCGGCTGATTATTAGTGTAGGTTTGGTAGGACTTACTTAGGAGCTTATAGCTTATATTAAGATCCAAAAATGTCATCAACTCTGTTTGGTTTAAAAAGAATTTGAAGTATGCACCTATTTGAAAAGCTATATAATGTAGCATATGAGAAATCAGCTCTGAAATGAGTCAAACCTGGCTTGTAAATTGATCTGCCAAGAAGAAATCAGGCAGTGTGACCTGTACAAGTAGGGATTTCATAGGATGTTAGTATAACTATTAGATTCTTATAATGATCTATTCCAAATTGTGTCTTTTGACATATATATACCTTGAAAAGAGGGGCACAAATACAACGCCACACACATTTGATGAGGAAGAAACGGTTTGAACGATACACAATGTTGAGAGGACAGAATATTATGGCAAACAGAACCTAGAAATTACAAAGATAAGAGAATTATGTGGCCAAACAAAATGTAAAAATGCAATCAGTGCACTAGTAAGTAGTAATTGTAGTAGCGCGTTACACAATTACACTAATTAGGACGAGCGGGACCGACTCAGTAAGCAACTTAAAACTTCTTGTTTTTGGATCCATTTCCATATCTAGGTGTGAGAGGACAGCAGCCAAAGCAAGGACGGAAATGGCCGAAGCAAGGAGGAGAACATGCCTATAACCAAGTTCTGTTCCTTGCTTGAAGCCAAATATGAAGGTATAGTTTATCCGGCATCTCCTCCAACAGTATATGTCCACAGCATACACTAGCAAGTGTAGGACGACAAATCCAAACAAACTACAATACAAAATAAAGCTTATTAGTAATGTATTGATGTTCACTTGGTCTATGTTTGGATCTTGGAAAATGGTAGAAAATGGAAGAAATTGTTCTGGAAATTGATTTTTATAATCTGTGGCTTGACCATAGAAATTACAAACAAGAATCAGAGTTGTTATATAATACTCCGTATATAAATACACACACACACACTCTAAGAGTATAAATAACACAAAAATGGCATACATATGCTGGAAGCCTGGAGTAAAAATATTAGATTACAATGTGACTTTAATTACACAGTGACTGATGGTTTCATTTGCCATGAATATAGAGATCTCCTGATCAAGGTGATATTCTAATTTACTGTGCAATGAACATAATAGTTTTTTGCAGTTAATGTAGCGACCATGTAATGATATACTGCGTAAATGTCTGTGGGTTTTGTTTTAGACTTACTAACATTATCATATGAAAACCCCTATAAATAAACAAGACTTTTAACTCTGTTTTCTCTTGCATTCTCTCTTTCCATATTCACCCTTTATTTTCCTTCATATATGTTCTTTCCTTGGCATTTTCCTGATTCTGAACGCAGCCTAGTGAATGTTAATAATCTGGGAAAACTAGGGAGAGGCAAAGTTGGTTCAAGTACAAAAACCTGTAAAGCGGAAATATGTTATCCATAAACTGACCACTCCCCTCATGTTCAAGAAGGTTTCTAGCACGAATGGAAACAAGAATAGCTGCAACCAATGCTAATGAGCAACCTGAGAACAAACCTGCAATTCAAAAATACATGTTTCATTTTTCACTCTTAAGAATCCCTCGTTAGATGATGAAAGCTCAGAAATAAGTTTATAAGGACTTGAGTGAGACTAAGTCCGAGTTCAGCTGGTTTATTTCAGTTCAAGACCACTTCAGTCTTTCAAACAAACACCACCATTTTAAATAAAATTGACTGAATTGGAAAATTTCTGCTCTTTTTTGGCTGAATGGACATGCCGAACATAGCCTAACTTACCAGTTGGATTGAAATTCTTTTAGTATGATTTCACCCATATGCATTATGACTTAGTTGGAAGACCCCTATCCTATTATTAAGTATATCAGTTTCTTTATGAAGTTGCCTTATAACACTTATAAAAGTCCCCGCGTATACATTCTCGTGGTGGGACGTCAATGTGCACTGGGCTGCCCCTAATGATTTACTTTGTATATTTGCCTACTTTTGCAGCAAAGTTGTGCTCGACTAAGGATGTTTTCTTTTGGACTGAAATTTGTTGTTCTGGTCTGATCTGGTCTGAATTGGTCTGTTAAATGTCCGGTCTCTGTGTATTTTATAACGGTCCAAGTTGGGTCTGGTCTATTTATGTTTGGTCTGTTTAAGTCTGGTCTGGGACTGAAAACAATCCAAAAGAAAACATCCTAAGCCTTCCATGCACTAGGCCAGGTCTAAATTGCCTGTAACTGCTTATTGCTCTTTAGAACATTAGTTATAATTCACCCAATTATGCTCACCAAGAAAGAATGTATTTCTGTGTTTCTCGCGTTTCTTTTGTGGCCTTAAGTAAGACATTCCTTTCCTTCGGTTCCCATTGGCGAAATGCTTAATGAATGTAGCTTCTGTTCTTTCCAACAGTCTAGTAATCTAAGGATCAAAAGGGAAAGACAACCAATACGTCATTGCAGGTTGAATAAATCATTTTTCCATTTCATTCATCATTACCTCAGTGCCGCAAAGGCTCCCACCTACAGTGGGGTGTGGGGGGTCGGATGTACGCAGTCTTACCTCTGCACTACATCATAGAGAGACTGTTTCCGGTGCAGGTTGAATAAATATCTATTTGAAATGGAGTTAATTAATGTCTTACAAGGAGGAAGTCAAACCTCATCAGAACTTCCAATACATGATCTATCAACCATCTCTAGGTATGCCCTTGAAGCTTTCCTTGATGTGATCTATACATAAATATGAGCGTATATCTTGAGGTTTCAATGGACTATATATGCCTCAATGGATCTACAGATTCTGGATCAAGGTATGATGGTCCAGATTTATTTGGAGATTGGAGTAATTCCCACTCTCTTCCAAATCAATCTGGTTCGTCCATCATGCAGATCGTTTGTATTTTAATTTCGATACCTTGTCATACTTCTTCATAATCTTGTAAATGGCCAGTGTGTTCAAGAAACTGGTGCAATGATCATAAAGTTTTTATTCAAAGAGGCAAAAAAACAGGCACTCTATTTATTAAATCCTAACTAGGAAATGGATTACCAACCCTTACCAGTATCCCTTAAGAAGCCTAAGCTCATGATAGAACACCAAGAATGCCTTCTTCAGCTGATCTTCAGCTTTCTTTAGCTCCACTCTATTGTACTTCAGTTCAGAATTTGAAATCTTCAGCACGCTTGCCAAAGTGGATACTGGCGTTTCGGGTTTGACATTGATTCTTACGTTATTCAACACTCCCAACGGGGCAGGCCTAAAATCTTCTTCTTGAATTGCGCCAGCTAAATGCAACTTAGCTTCTTCATTGAGCCCCATCACGGGTTTATCCACCATGACCCGAAGAGCAATGAGTGCATCCATTTGTTTGCTCAGCTCACCCGCTTCCTTCCTCACATCTTCCACTTTTCGGGAATAGAAACTCACGACTTTGTTGAATTCATTGTCAACTTTTTCGAAATACTCGAGCTCATAGACCCCTCCGGATTCTGATGACTTAAGGAACATTGTTTGGTAGTGAGGTGGTGCTTCCTTGCCATCCTCCGGCCCCATGGTGTTTACTAAGATCGCTTCATCCTCATGATTGATCGCTGGAGAATTTTCTGTCAGTCCACTGAAGGCTCTGTACATTGTCAACCTTCTCTTTATTGAACTCTTTGGAGTTCCTGGTGAGACGGTTGATGGCGATGACATGGCATTCCGCTTCCGGAATTCTAGGATTTGCTTTAGGATTTGTTTTAGATGGTTGTAATCTATGTATGCTTCCCCCCATTCTTGGACCATCTGGGAGGCAAATTCCTTCCCGAACTTCATTTTGATGGGGGATTCAAATGATCATAGGAAGTTCGAGCTGAATATTTGTAAATATAAAGATAGAAACCAAGTCTTGAATATAATCTAAATGAGCACAGGTCACTGGATCCAAAGAATGATATGTAAATACAGAACTTAAAAGCTATTGTCAAAAGGAAAAAAAACAGTTGTCTCAAAAAGTTCTATAGAACTTTCCATTTTCCAAAAACTTTTTGAAAATGTTGCCTCCAAAAGTTCAAGTACATTATGCCAGACTGAATTTTGTCATCATACTGCTTATACAGAGTATCATTACTCACCTTTGGAATTAATAAATGAAAAAAAACAAAAGTAAGGTTGACAATTGGTAACCAGTAATGGGCTGCCATCTGCATTTAGAAAAGAAATAACTTAAGGTGGTAAACAGTGGCATAGCTAGAATTGAAAGAAATATTGTTTGGGCCAATACAAAAGTTACATACTCCGTAATTCTTTTTGCGAAGCAATTTAAAGGATTTATCAAATTTATGTCGTGCCCTTATAAACTTGCAATAGTTTTTTTGCTTTACTTATTACTACGTACTTTTTTATTTTATAGATAAATTGATTAATTATATATAGTACTCCTCTATCACCATTTAATAACACCATTGATTTTGCACAAAGTTTAAGATAATGAAGTCGTATAATTAAGAATTATTTGGAAAATGAATACTCATTTTTTTTAAATGGCAATATTCCGATAATAAAAAAATGGCAATATTCCATAATGAAATAATTACATAAATATGACCAAAATAAAGATGGTTTACAAAAATATGACTAGTTACTAGAGTAGTAATGAAATCATAGTAATTCATATTCAAGTTTTGAACTTTAAGTTACCACAACACTACGTTGTAGTAATAAATAAGTTTTATTTTAGTAATATACTTGTAAAAAACCCATAAGTTGGATGTTCTGAAACGGAGCTAGCTATATAGAGCTCAACAATTCAGTTATATGATAACATAGAACCATATCTGGTATATCAAATTTCATTGCATACGCTATGCATCTCTTTAACCCTTGAAAAGAGATGATGAAGATGGCACCATTGTCTCACATCCAGTGCTTGTCTTTAACCTTTTAGGGTCCGATCCTTGACATGGAGTGACGTCTTCCACCGCTGGTTAAAGCAATCAGCCTGCCGGCCTAATGAATCGAGTGCTTTCTTCAATCCACTCCAGCTGTGTTTCTCCCTGGTCTTTGTTGCTTCTGAGGGAAACAGTCCCTTCATACTGTTTCCAAAACTGCCTTTGGATACCAATCATTTTTTTGTAAGTTTCATTGACCACATCATCCGCTCTATAGATCGGGTTCACAATCTCGGGATCAACTCTTTGCAAAACCTTTTGAAATTCTTGATGGATCTAGCCAATGGGCAACTCCTCTAAACACTTGATTTGGTTGACAATGTGCATCTTGGAGATTGAAAAATCCAACGTTCTTTTTTCTTCTTCTTCAGCATATCTCTTGTCCTGTTCATGCTTGTGTTCAATGGCTTCAATCTTGTTGAGAATCCAACAGACATCCTTAAATTGGGTGTCTTCTTAAAGATGAAAAGCAGCTTTGATGTCGCGTTTGAGAGAAAGAGTATCACCATACCTTTGCATTTCTGGCATCTTTAAAATCACGTTCAGTTATGAATTCATAAACCATTAGCTTTTTAACAATTTCAAAATATATCTTCCTCAAATAATCTTCAGATTTACTTCTTTTAATCTCCAATGAGCCTCCTGTCTTCTCGTGTAGCCTTTTAAGGTGACCATTAAGAAGATCCCACAAGCTTACCGTTCTGGACCCACTAGATCTACACGAGCTTGGACTATGCCGCTCTAGACCGCAGGTCTGTCTCGAATTCCTTCAGAACCTTTATTTTCGCACAACATTCGTTGCAGGAACACACCTTGGAAAAATCATATTCCGGCGGAAATAATTCACGATTTGAAATCTCAAATTCCTCCATTTTTAGCATCATTGCTTTCAAATCCATCTTCTCCTTCAGATCCTCTGTCATACTTGTACTAACTGCAGATTTGGTTGCGATAGATGTTAGGATTTGGGCCTATGGGGCAATATACTATTTTGGCTTTATTTTCAAGACAAAGAGTAAATTATACTCCGTACTTACTTAAAGTAGAAATTACGGAGTATAATAAAACTAGGAGAAATTACTCTAAATATGACTAAAAACGTTTGTATATTCCAATCTAAGATTATCATGTTTTTATTCTCTAAATAGAAGTAATTAATATCATTTTTGGCAGTATCATATTTTACACATGGTGTTATTTTCCGAACATGATAATAATCAATCCTATTCAGAAAATAAACACATGACTGTCCTATTTTGAATTTCTAAAAAAATTACTCCTATTTCAGGAATTCTCCTTACAACTATCTAATAAAGGTCAAAAAATTAAGATGAAATTCACATGTATTTGGAAAAAAGTAACAACACATGTATCACAAAAGAACATTGTGAAGTAAAATCATAAATAATTGCTTTATAAACAATCTTTTCCAAGATCACATGGGCAATATCTAAAATTGCTAATCCATTAAGTTTTTTGAAGCATAATAAATAATTGAGATGATGTTTGAGAATTGGGAGGCACTGACAACCCAAAGACAATAATAAAAATTGGTAATTTTGTAATTAAAAGAATAAATAATCTTAAAGGCTAAAAAGATGTGAACAGACGTGTTTTTATTGATTTTACAACAAATATGTTGACTTACAACCAACTCTATTTAAAAATCAAAACTAAATTTATATTCTTTTTCAAAACTTGTCTAGCTTTGTTCAAGACTTTTTACTTATATTTTAAAATTCTCAAATTGTCAAAAAAAATACACATTAGGCCTAATTAATTAATTGAATTATAAATAAAAAAGAAGTCTACTCATATTACATATAAAGAAAAAAACTTGGGCCTAAATTTCTTTCTACTTTTTTTCGGGCCTAGGGCGGTCGCCCCTGCTGCCCTCCCCCTAGGACCGGCCATGACGGCAAGGAAGGGGATCGCGAGAGGCATTCTGTAACCGCCTGAAATCCTTGGTGCACATGTCTCATGCAATGATTGGTCCACGCCTAATTCCATGAGTGCCTATATCGTACAACCGGCTGTACGGTGAGCACCGTACACCGGCCCAACAAGGAAAGTAACAGGCCCAAGGAAAAAATGGCAAAATAATTCGGTGGTGTTTTTGCAATTAATGTGAAAATCGCGGTTTGTGTTAAATGAGCATTAGTGTACTGTTAATGAGCAATAGTCCAATTTTAATGAGCACCGTGTTAGTACAAGAAAGATGATATCACAACTAAAAAACGGTGTCATTTTCGTAATATCAGTGAAAATTGTCATTATCGTTAGATGAGCATTGATACACTTTTAATGAGCATCAAACGTATTCTATTGAGCATTACGAGTCGAATAATGAGTATTGTGATATCAATTTCATATATTGTAATTCACTTTCTTTTTCTTATTTTTTCTTTTATAAATACTTATTAAATTATATTTATAATCAACTCCTATGAACTTCAATATGCAAAACTAATGTAATATGGCACTTTTGAAATATGCATTGATATGACATTTTAAAAATGAGCATAACATCAGTTTCAATTGAGCATATGTAATATATAAAATGTTTATTGATATGAAACTCGTAAGTTTTTTTAGTTGACCATAAATACATTTAAATTGAGTATCAAATTTCCTCTATTGAGTATTAGAATCATGTGGTTGAGCATCATTATCTGAGCTCCTGCATCTATAATCAAGTCTTATGTTAAAATATAATGAGCAGAACATATGTACCAAATGAGCATATACAACTTACAAAATGAGTATCGGGAAAACCAAAAACTCATTTGTGTATATTCATTCAGTTTAGGCGTTATACTCATTTGTAATATGTTCTATATTCATAAACAACTGATGATCAATAAGTGTGGTCCCCAATGACTCCTGCAACAAAAACGCTAAACTCAATGAGTCTAGCTCTTATTTTGAATTAAATTAGATAGAGCTTCAATTATTTGGAGATAAGTCTGTAGAAGTAGAAAATTTGATGGTTAGCTTCATGATTGTGATGTAATTGCTTGAGGTTTTTTCCTGAGATGGCTGAGAAAGTTGGACACCACTATATTGGATTATCGGCGGCTGCCTTTAATTTCCCTTCATTTGTTCATTCGAATTGTAAATTCTACAGAATGGTTTTCAAGTTACTTCCGGCACGTGAAGGGAAAGGGAGCAATCGAACTTCGAATTGGAAGAAATGAGATTTCAGCGAATTATTAACTGCCGTCCTTCGCCAGTGAGTTGCTGTGATAGGATTTGATTACAAAAATGTCTGGCTGTAGGGTGCTCACCGTACAGCCGGCTGTACGGTATAATTTACCTAATTCCATTATGTGAACCGCCGGATATAGATAGCTTAAAAAGTAAAAAGGGAAAAATAATAAAAATATCTCAAACTTTGAAAGATGTGAAGTAAACACCCTAAACTTGCATATGTAATTTAAATATCTCAAACTTTATGTAATAAGTTATGGAATTTTTATGTGAATATTACTAATTTTGAACCAATTACCCAAAAAGTGACCACTTTTAAAAAGGGACAAAAAAGTGATCAAGAAGGTTATACTTGGAATTAGAAAACATAATGTCACTTCAAAAATTGTATGTCACTGTGTTTGTTTTTTTATAACTACAGTCACCACCCATGTCACTACAACCACCGTCTGTGTCACTGTAACCACCGCCCATGTCACTGTAGCCACCGCCCGTGTCACTGTAGCCACCGCCCGTGTCACTGTAGCCACCGCACGTGTCACTGTAGCCGGAAATAGTGATACCTCCGCGGTGAAATCTCCGCCGCCATCGCTCATGTCACTGCCACCACCGATGCCGCCACTGGTCACTGTGACATCGCTGCTGGCCACAGTGACACCGCAATCGACCACAGTGACATCGCACAAGTGACGCCGCCCCAATGACGCCGCCGCCGTTAGAAAATTTCCCGGCTTCTTTTCAGACGCCCGGCGCCAACAACACTAAGCCGTCAGAAAATTTCCCGGCTTCTTTCCAGCTGCACATTCCAAGCTGTCAATCTAGCTGCCATTGCTGCTCCTGTCCGTGCCCAGCCAGGCAGCCACCACCGTTCCTCCTGCCCCGATCACAGTCACCACCGCCACCCTTACCCTGTCCCAACTTTCACTCCCCACACACCAGCTCCCCAGCCCCTAGCCTACACACCAGGTCCCCAGTCCCATTCTCAGCCACCAGCACTGCTCCCAACCCCAGTCCTACGCACCAGACCGCCCTCACTCCTCGTCCCTATCCCCCTACGCACCAGACCCCACCTAGCCCCCAATCCCCACCCACAAGGCCCTACGCACCAGATCTCAACCCCCCTTCCCCGCTCCCTATCATTCCATCAGCCCCTCTCTAACAGATGTGGCCGGAAATGGCAAATTCTGTCTGGGATTAGATGCGACGGAGAGATTAGGAGCTCCAGTACCTATGACAACGAACCCTCCATAGAAGAAGATGGCGGCATCCACCTCCACATTGACCATACAGAAAAGGGAAGAAACAGAAATTGGCTCAGGGGAGGGCCTGCGATGGTGGCCGCCAGAGGCATAGTTGCTGGATGTGAGGTCGATGAGATGAGCGATGGAGGAAGGAGGCCTGCGATCGATGATGGATGAACGATGGAGGAATGAGGTCTGTGATGGATTCTTCCAGATGCGTCAATCTCGACGCAGAGAGAGGGGTTAGGTCAGATTTTTGTAAAGTTTCAAAATGGTCATATTTTTGACTTCTAAAACCTTCCAAGTAATATTTGGGCCATTACTTCATAAGTTATTTTTGCACCATCGTCGTGTATTATTTCTTTTAAAAGTATAAATTTATGGGATTAATTGCACAATTTAAAATAGCAAATTAAAAGTTTTGCAATTATATAGATTGGGGGTAACATTATTTATTTCGCAATGCAAGTTTAGAACGTTGATTGTGTTTTCATGAATTCCAAAATATTTTAAATTGTACAATTAATAACATAAATTTACATTTTTAAAAAAAATAATACTTGACTATGGTGCTAAAATAACTTTTAAACACAGTTTGAGATATTTAAATTACGGGAAAAGGGTCAAATAGACTCTTGAACTTACATAAAAAGGTCAAATAAGCTCTTATATAGGAGACTCTGTCTGGCCATCGCCATTTGGAGCTCTTTCTGGTGGAATTTTTTGATGAAATTTTTTGATAATCTTATTCATTAAGTCTAGTCTACGCATACCAAATTTCAGATAACAATTAATTCGGTAAGGCATTCAAATGAATTCTTGAAGATAATTGCGCTTTTAACTGCGTAGTTATCTTCAAGAATTCATTTGAATGTCTTCCCGTTTGAATTTTTAGCTGAAATTTGGTATGATTAAACTAGACTTGATGAATAAGATGCTCAAAATATTTCATCAAAAAATTCCACCGGGAACCGCCCCAAATGGTGATGGCCGGACAGAGCCTCTTATATAAGGGTTTATTTGACCTTTTATGTAAGTTTGAGGGCCTATCTGACCCTTTTCCCTTTAAATTACATATGCAAGTTTGGAGTGCTCATCTCACACCCCTTCAAAGTTTAGGGTATGTTAATTATTTTCCCTAAAAAAATCATTCTCCATTTTTGGCTTAAAAATATTAAAATTAGTATTTTCAAGTGATAGTTTTTACTTAAAAAAAATGCTTCTCGACTTTGGCTGAAAAGTGCTTTCTACTTTTTCTATTACACAAAAAATACTTATTTGTACCAAACACTACCAACTTTATTTTTCAAAATCACTTTTTTCTCAAACAGTATCAACTTTTATTACTAATCATTTTTTCCAAAATCACTTTAAGAAGTCCTTTTTTAAGCAAAACAGTTGCAGGCACTCCCTAAATGGGCACATGATATATCAGATGTCAATTATGGACCATATGTAAAAAAGTAGGGAAAATATCACAAATAGACTAAAACGGAAAAGTAATATCACTTTTGTCACC